CTACGGCAAATTCATAATCGATTATGCACCGCGCGTCTTTTTTTTTTTTAAATGAAAATAAACAGTGTTTGTTTCCGCCGTTTCGCACCCTTTTGCAAAAAGTAACTCTGTTATTCAGTGTCATTTTGTATACACTGCAGTTTCAGTTCAACACAACTACAGTTTCATTTCGATATAACTATAGTTTCATTCGATATTTATAGACTCAAATATGTGAAAATGTTATTTAATTTTATTTTATATACACTATAGTTTCATTAAAACACAACTACATGATCATTTTGATATAATTACAGCTTCATTGTACAATATACACTCAAATATGTGAAATGTTATTCAGTTTCATTTTATATACACTGCAGTTTCATTTTACTATAACTACAGTATCATTTTGATATAACTGCAGTGTCGGTTTAGATATACTATAGTGTCAGTTAGTGTATAATACACCAAACAAGTGGACTCCGTTAACTCTAACGGCGGGCCGTTTCTTTACTTAAAGAAACGGCGCCGTTTTTGACCGCGGTGCACATGCACCGCGGTCTATAATATAACGACTGCCAAACTACTTAATAGGTCTAGTCCACTTGCACCACATAATTAAGGCCCATAAAATATAATATATATTATATGGGAAAGTATTACCAATTTTCCATATGGACATTTTGTGCATTGGAGATGAATCAGTCCATTTCTAATCTTGTGCTGTTGACTAAATTGAAAGTAATTGGGAATGGTTTGTTTTGAAATTTTGATGGTTAGAAATTAGCATTGGGTTCCTAATAATGAGGATAAAGTTTTGGTTTTTATGACCCAAATTTGAAGTCCATGGTTTGTTATTAATTAATAGTTCTGCATCTGTGGCTACTATTTTCATGTCATGTATGCCTTCAAATTAAATCTTCTCTAACTCAATGACTTTCTGTGTTTTATATACATTATGCCCGTGATCGAGAGCATTGTTTGTGCTCCTATATATACATATATATTCACATTTGTATACCATTTATCTTATTAGGCCAAAATGGAGTCTGATGAAGATCAAGTTCATGAGCCAAAATACAACTGCCTTCTTTTCGGTGAGGCATTGTTATATATTCAAACAAAGAGGCATTTCAATTGTCTTATAAAACGAATGAATGTTTGTGAATTTTCAGATGTTGATGATACCCTCTATCCCTATAGTTCTGGTTTATCAGCGCAGTGCACCCGGAACATAAATGGTAATTATTCGTATAAGTTTGATTCATCATGTTTATGTTCGTGTTCGTGTTCCAGATTTATTTATAAGAAAGATTTCTAAATTATCCTCTGATAAGTCCCTCTCGATTTTAGAATATATGATTCAAACTCTTGGCATTGAGAAGATCATAGTTCCGGAAATGTGCGTGCAACTGTACAAGGATTATGGAACAACAATGGCTGGCCTGAGGGTATGGTATCTGTTATTGCAATTTCGCAATTTAATTTGCACGATTAGGATTTCGAGAAACTTGATTTTTGATGTATTTTGCCTTTACCTATTTCCAGGCAATGGACTACGACTTTGATTATGATGATTACCATAGGTACATGTATAATAGATGCTGTCATATTGTCTTAAATAGTTAAACAGGGTGCACACAATCTTACTTCAATTTCTTCACAGTTATGTGCATGGGAGATTGCCTTATGACATCTTAAAGCCCGACCCTGTTCTTAGGAATCTTTTGCAGAGCTTGCCTCTCCGAAAAGTTGTAAGTTTCTTGCTTTATAGACCGAGAATTAGTATTGCTGAACAATGCTTTACTTATTAATCGATCAAATCTTTGGAATGTATGTGGATATGTGAACAGGTATTTTCGAATGCAAATGATGCCCATGTGGCAAAAGTTCTGAACATCTTAGGATTAGAGGACTGCTTTGAAGCGATTATAACGTTTGAGAGTTTGAATCCTAAGCACAATAGCAATGAATCTGAGAGGGATAGTGGTAAGTTTGAAGAAATACGAGCAAGATTCTACTTCTTTTAACTCTTAAAACATCCAACTATGTTGACTGTTTATCGCGATTTTATGTCTCCCCTTCCCAGAACTCCCGAAGACACCAATCGTCTGCAAACCTTTTGAAGAAGCTTTCGAACAAGCCTTTAAAATTGCTGGAATTGAATCTAAAAAGACGGTATGAGTTATGACCGACACCATGTTACAATGGTCAATTAGAAACAAGAAAAGTTTCAATCTTTTGTCACTCACTCTATCACGTCTTACTTTTTATCTTTCTTCAGCTGTTCTTTGATGACTCCATCCGTAATCTACAGACTGCTAAACGTTTGGGCCTCGGCACTGTGTGGGTAGGTCGACTAATTCGACTTGGTTTGGACAAAATCAGATCGATGAGATCATTTGCTTGCCACTAGCCAAAAATATAGTTAGTGGCGCCAGCTCTGATACCACTTGTTATCAAGCGCTTACTACTATGTCAAAAGTTATAGCTAGTAGCGAAGGCGTAATTTTATTTTCTTATAGACTGCCATTACATTTTCGAGAGGCAGGGTACTGGACTTGACCTTTCACTGGTCTCTGTCTGACAATCTCCTATCCACTAATTGAGGATTTGGCCATTTACTGGCCTTTGCCCAACACAAACATGTAATATAAGCTAAAATTTCTGTTATTTCGATAGGTGGGTGCCTCGAATCGAACAGTAGGGATTGATTATGCTCTAGAGAGCATTCACAACATGAAGGAAGCAATACCAGAGATATGGGAAGCTGTTCACAACGAGCCAATTGCAGTCGCATCTTAGATTTAGTTTTATACTTAGCTTTATTCACTGAAAAACAGATGAATTGTTTTCCTTTTTTACAGAGTAACTTTTGTTCATTTTTTTTTTCTAAATTGCCCCTTCATATTTGTGCAGAAGGGATAAATCAGAATTCCCCCAGCTATATTATTGTGAATTTCGTGTGAAGACTAGTAAATGCTTGTAAGCAGGTGCCTAGGAATGCAGGTTGTATGATCATTTTGTAAGAATTGTAAGGTTGTAAGAACTACAATAAATCTGAATTTTCTTGGCCATGGCAATGTATGGTACACTTCTATTGTTTCACTAGTTTCTTGTGCCTAATAGCAATACACCATATTTTGATGAGTGACGAGGAAAACGCGCAGCGACTTATCGTTTGATCAATTTAACTGGAGTTACCATAAATACATCATATTTGACACTTGAAAATGACATTAAAGTAGACAAAAATACAAAATAAAACCATCTCCAACCCAATGCCAAAATACCATTTTTTCCAAAGTATTTGGCTTTTTTCGCCTCCAGTGTAGATGCAACAACAAAATTTTGCCAACGGTGAACAGTGCTGCACCAAATATGGCACAACATTGTTCATCTATGCCATTCTATTTTAATATTTTAATTCCTATTTTGCTCCTGATTTATTTGTTAATTCCTTTTGTATCTTTTATTTTGTTTTTATATTTTTGTATATTTTGTTAAATACTTAAACATAAATTGTGTATTATTAAAAATAAATTATATAATTTAAAAGATCTTATAGATTAATTAAAAATTAAATTACATAAAATAATTTTATCAAAATTAAAATTAAAATGATTACCTCCAAAATTAAATTGTAATAAAATATTACGGAGTATTATGGACATCACAAATTATATTTTATAGGCTAAAGTGTGATCCCGCACCACGAACTATATCCGATTATTCATGCCACACCCTAATCTTTCATAATGTCCATTTCGATCCACAAACCATTAATTTTTTTTTTCATCTAGCCATTTTTACAGGTTACCTACATGTTACAGGTAATCTATGTTGACATGGACTTTTTTTTTTCTTTTTTCTTCTTTTAACACCTTCTTGGGCCTAGCCACCGGTATTAAAATCGTTATGCTATGGACCCGTGTCCACAATGCACTGTGGACACGGATTGAAACGGCGATGTTTCATTGTAACGCATTAATGGTGCCGTAAGTGGCACCGTTATCTTCCACCAATCATCTTTGTTTTTTTTTTTAATTTAAATTTAAATTTCAGTACCCGACTCGTCACGATTAAGCCTCCATTTTCGCGGGTTTCTTGTCGATCAAGCTTCCATTTCTTCTTCGCAAAAACCTCTCTTCAACGCTCATTCTCTCTGTTTTTCGTCAACATAGACTCCATCGCCAAAAGCTTCACTGTCACACGCCAAGCCTCCATCGTTTACTCTACTTTACTTCGTCGCCATACAGGTATTATGTGTCTGACATTCTTAAACAAGGGTTTATAGAGCATAAACATGTACATTTTGTATACATTTTGTGATTTTGAACTAGAGTTTGAATAACATAAACTCTGTATATTCTCGAATGTTGTGTATATTAGTATATAGACTGTATATTCTGTATATAGTGATAAAAGTTATGATCGTATCCACCTATAATTGTCAACATAGATGTTTAAACCTCTTAAAAAAAATAAGGAACAAATATTAAGAATATAGACTGCAAAACTTGTACATGTATATATCAAAAGTTGTGAATATAAAGTTCAAAGCTAACCAATTGTAATAGCACAATCTCAATCTACAACTACGTTGTCATCTAAACTCTTATTAAAATGAACAAACTTGAACTACTAGAAGTTGGATGTACAAGATATCCATCACTAGCAATCTCAGATATATTTTCCAAAACCAATGATTGAACGACACCCTTTGTATTTGAAGCAACCTTATTTGCAGCACTCCTTCTTCCCCTTGCTATAGTGTACCTCTTATCAATAACACTACTCCTCCTTTTATTAAGCACACCTTTCAATCTCCGGCTTGAAGGATCTTGAACAATACCACTTGAAGATGAAACACCACACTCTTCAATATTCACATGCCCAATCTCAGCTTCAATCATTTTCTTTGCATTCTCAACAGCTTCATATCAAAATTGTTTAGCTACACTACTGTCTTGACTAGAAAAAACCAACCTTTGAAATTTCATACTAATCTCAACAACTCAAATTGAAGGAGGAACACCAACATTATAAGACAATGAATCAATGTTCACATTCCTACCAATCGCAACCTTTTTAGTCCATCTTTTCATAATGTATTTATCAGGAATACTAGGAACACAATTTACATTAAGTATACGTAAACAATGACAACAAATAATTCCCATTTCAGAAAACAGTTTGCAACTGCAAGAAATGTCAAGATTGAGAGGCTTAAAACTAACTTCATGCCTTATAATGTCTATATATGGTCGCCACACATGATACTTGTATTGACACCCATCATTCAAAACAATTTCTTGATGACAAGCACTGCCTTTCATTAATTGTTCCTCAAACAAAAAATAGATCTCAATAGCATATACCTCTCTAGCATGTGAAAGAAGTTTCACATGGTCAATCATCATAGCAGGTACCCCTTGAGCACAACGAAAATATTCACCATTTTCTTTACTTCTCCACTCATAAATAACGCTAACAAAAGAAGAATAGAAATCACAAAGACCAGCAGTCTTAGATAGCCTTCTAGAAATTGAATGATTTGTAGTTTCACTCCTTTGTGAAGTTAAAATTCCCCCAGAAAAATAATCCTTGTTAAATGCTGGACACAATTTCTCCCTACAATCATAAAGCTTCCCTAGCCACAAATTCTTGTGACACTTATATTCAGTCACCATCCTGAAATTTACAAGACACATTCACTAAAAATTTGTGAAAAGAAAACAATAAGATAACCAAATCACTAACAGATGCCCCACAAACCAAAACACTATATATTCATAACTGATATACTTTAGAATCATAATTGCTATATTGTAGATTCATAATTGCTATACTCCAAATCCATAATTTTTAGACTGTAAATTCACAATTCATATACTGTAGATTCATAATTGCAATATTGTAGATTCATAGTTGATATACTGTAGATTCATAATTGCTATACTGTATATTCATAACTGCTATATTGTATGTTCATAACTGGTATACTGTAGATCCATAATTGCTATACTGTAAATTCAAAACTTCTAAACTGTAGATTCATAAATAAAAACCAGTAAATAGTAACATACCTAGTCCAATAAAATTCAAACTCAGCTTCAGTGTCTGTGTATTTTAACAAACAGTTAAAGATATTCATGAAATCCTTATTGTTCTTTAACGTCTTGATATGCTTATTCTAATTCTCACCAATGTGCCATATGCAAAGACGATGGCGTGATGTTGGAAAAACTATAGAAATAGCAGCAGCCATAGCTGCACATTGATCCATCATGATAGGTTGTGGATACTTGCCATCCATAGTTAAAAAAGCTCTAAATAACCACACAAAGGATTCTATCCTATCGTTCTTCAAAAACCCACAACCAAACATTACATTTATGCAATGATGATTCATCCTTACAAAAGGCCCACATATCATATCATATTTGTTAGTGCGGTATGTTGTATCATGCACTAACAAATCTCCAAACAATTCATAATCCCGTCTCATTTGACCATCCCTCAAAAAAAAAATTACACAATCTTGCATCGGAATCAACTTCAAAATCAAAAAAAAAAAAGAAGTTAGACTCGTTAGACTGCCTCCTCCTAAATATTTCAATTGAAGAATTAGAATCAGTTCCATCCAAACTCTTAATTGTGTCACAAGCCAGCGAATTATAAGCATCGCGATTGGTGAAACCAACCAATGGAGACCCACCTGATTGATGTTTCAAAAACCTAATACCATCCGCCAATCTAACTCCACTCTCCTTCAAATCTTTTAAACATGAAAGCTGATTACTTCCCACTCTTCTATGTGAACGAAGTAGATGACTCTTGTCTAAATCACATAACTCATGATTTTGCACCTTCATATGTTTTGTAATTGTCCACGACCCATCTCCACCCACATCAAACTGAACAAATGCACCACACCCCGTCCTTGTATTGATTTTTGAATAAAGCTTGACTGTAACACCCCGGAAATTCATTCCCTAAAACCCGAATTAATTCCTTAACTAATTCATTGTGGCTTTACAATTATTATCCTAATTTCCCTTTGAAATTAGTTGAAGGACCTAGTTGACCAAATTCCTTATCCTTTTAATATGGTCAATGGGTTGTACCTTGGACTTTAGCCCTTGTACCCTAGACTTTGTCTTTCTCCTAACTAGTTTTGGGAGGAAGGGGCCCTTTTGGTCATTTCACACAATGCTAGCATTAAAACCCTACCCTAACCAAGGAATCCAAATCACTTTTCAGGATTTCCCTTCGCTCTACATCTCCTTCTTGCCCCCTACTCTTTCTTCTCTCTAGGAAATCCTAGAGTTGATCTTCACAAGTTCTTCAAGAAATCCCAAGCCAAGATTCCAACTTGCCAACACTACAAGGCTAGCAATGGTAAGATCCATCATTCCCTACCTTTTCCTTACAAGATTCCTCCATCTTTTCTCTAAATCTTTCTTCTACCTTGTGGGTTTTGGGAGTTTGTAGAAGATCTAGTGGTGGGTGAAGTCCCAGGTTAATCTAGAGGAGCTTTGGTCTTGCTTTGAGGTTGAAGAAGGTGTTCTTGGTCTACAAGAGGTAACCCATGCTACACAAAATCTATTTTCACTTGCTAATAATGATTAGTGGCTTCTATGTGATATTCTTGATGTGTTTGAGTGATTTGATGCATGATATTGTGATAATGCATGTTTAAAGCTTGTATTTAGGGTTCTTAAATGCTATTGTATGAGCTATTCTTGTGTTCAAGTCATATCTTTGTTGTATGGAAGATTTGGGGTCATTTGGACTTGAACTTGACCTTGAAAGTGGAAATCTGCGAAGTGCTGATGTTCCCCGTGGGAGGATCCACGGGGGGCCGGGGGGGGGGGGGGGGGGAGAGTCCCATCCACGGGGTACATGTTTGAGAAAGGGTGGGTGGTTGTCCGCCCACCGATTCGCCACTTGGGTGTGATTCTATGGCCTCCATTTGATTGGATTGTTGAGCTTTTGTGTGTCTCCTTGATGTTACTTATGTCTAGAGCGATGTCTTAAGTGTCTATGTTAGGACTTGGTGTCTTGAATCGGGCTTGTGGTCCAACTTTGTGATTCGTTGGATTATTGTGAGTCTTTGAGGTTCATTGGAACCATTTTGGTTTACCCGTTTGATATGCATGTTAGTTTTGGTGTCATTGATGCTAGTATGTATTGTTTGTCCCTTTCTATTGAGGATTGGCAACTCGTGTTGCCAACCATGTTGACATTGGATTGCAATTATCACAAGTGTTCCCCGCGGGTGGGGCCACGGGTAGGCCACCACCCGTGGTCCTGCCCGCGGGGTACAGCCCCTTTGGCCGTGCACCTCACGGGTGGGGCGGTGGGTAGGCCACTGCCCACCGTTCCGCCCGCGGGGTACACCCCTGTGCAACCATTTTCCCTTCGGGGAAATTTATCTCCAAGGTCAAGTTCAAGCCCAAAACACTCAAAACCTCACATACAACAAAGATACGACTTGAACCCAAGAATAGCTCAAAGAATAGCATTCAAGAATCCTAAATACAAACTCTAAACATGCATTATCACAAGATCATGCATCAAATCACTCACAACATCAAGAATCATCAATAGAAGTCAAGAAACATCAATAGCAAGTAGAAAGTAGGTTTTGTATAGCATGTGTTACCTTTGAAGACCAAAAACCTCTTTCTTCTTACACTCCTAAGCCTCTCCTTGAAGCTCTTTCTCACCAAAGACTTCTTACACAACCAAACCACAAAGAAAACACCAAAATAAGATAAACACACCTTAAAGCTAAATAAATACACTAAATAACTTTAGATATTACCCTTTCCTATGCTAGGGAGGTAGAAAGGTGGAATCTTTGGATGAATCTTTGCAAGGATAGATGGTTCTTCTTTTAGCTTGAAGGGCAAGCCAAGATTTCTTTAGAGAGAAGGTGGAGTGTTTATGATTTTGCTAGTAAGGGAAATGAGTGAAGTGTCTTGCTAGGGAAAACTTGAGCATCAAAACATGTGTGAAAGGTCATCTTTACCCTTACTAAAGCTAGGACGACAAAAGGTTGAGGTACAAAGCATAAGGCAAAAGGTACACATGGTTGACTAAGGAAACTAGTCAAATTCTAGTCCCTCGACTATTAAATTTAGGATTTTTAGAAGGAAATTATCAAAGGAAAATTAGGATTAATTCCTCAATTAATCTCAATTAAGGGTTATATTTACGGGGTGTCACAACATAAACCCTAAGCAAGGCTCTATTGAGACTCAATCACAGAATCACACATACAATTATCAAATGAGCCAATAAATAAGATATAGCAAGGAAAATAGGTTTTGTAAGACATGGGTTACCTCTTAGCCTTAATTAATCATCCCTTGGCTATTAAGGTTCTTCTCTAAGACTTCCCTCTTATTGATCTCCCTAGGCTTGGTGGTAGGGAATCCCTTTGGCTAGGTTTCCTAGGCGATTCGTGTATTCGGTGTTATGAGAGGTGAGAGGGTTCTAATTGCTTTCTAATCCCCTATTTATAAGGTCATGAATCCTAATCAGATTCTGGGTAGTAGAAGGTCTATTTTCCTTATTCCTATCGGGCTTATAGTCTTTAATATGGATAAGGGTCCACGGTCCATTGTAGATCAAATTAATTAATTAAGGGGGGTCCTAACCAATTTAAGTCCCTTTTAATTATTTACCCATGAGATTAATTTCATAATTAATCCGGGTTCGAAGGTCGTAACTGTAACACCCCGAAATTTTAAACTTTTTGAAACTTATATAATAAAGGTAAGTTCACATTTAAATCCCAAAACATAACATAAGAGTACGGGGTGCTATGCCACACATGGGCTAGAGAACCCAGGTGCACAGGCTTGCTAACTAAAATCCTTAATAATGTCAATACATAAGTATGGCACGCAGGCCGAAAGGGGAAACTATCTACTCTACGCTCCAAATCTCTAGCGCGCTCCAGTGTCTACTCATGTGTGCCTGAAAGCCAAATATATCTGTTCAGCGAGAGATGCTGGTAACCCACTCCAACACGTTGAAATACAATACATATAGATATATACATGGATATAAGGAAAACCATTTCGAAGCATGATGATATACCCTAAGAGACTCTAGCTTTTAAAACAGGGAATGGACTCAACAGGTAGGGATAAGCACAACCAACAGTTATAACCAAGCACATACAGTTACTAGCATATATCCTATGGTCACGATTTCACTTCATATCATCCATAACATCAATCAATCCGTATTTCATCACACAAGCACACTTTGATGGCGCCACAGGACCAATCACATGCCTATACATGAGGGTCAGTGCATATAGCTCTGACACGGCCCCGCAGCACCCTGCCTCGTATTGCAACACGAGGGGGTCGATCGCAACCGACCGATGAACCGCAGCTCATCATAATGTTTGATCGCAACCAAACAGTGGACCGCAGCCCAAGAGTAGTCATCTGACCGCAGCTAAGAATATGAACCGCAGCTCATGTAAAACGTTTGATCGCAACCAAACGGTGGACCGCAACCCGAGAGTGTAAATCTGACCGCAGCCAGCTTCTGAACCGCAGCTCAGGAATAACCAATTTGATCTCAACCAAATTGGGGTATCATGCACACATAACACATAGCAAGCACATGCAACCCACATTGACACATTGGGAAGGGGGAGAAATCGTATAACGAAACCTATGCGTGATCATCCACATACTAAGAATAATCCTAAGGGGTTCATACTTCTTGCACCTAGGCCAACGGGATACCAATTTAACTAGCATGTAATATATAAGACTTATTCAACCTACGAATGGTACCCGAAACATCAAACTAGACATAGGCACGATAGACGGAGTCCGTTAGGACACCACGGGGGTCGAGGGAACATCAAACGCGGAAGCCGGAATCCCGAGGTGGGGAAATTTCCAGTGGGTAGCCGGTGGGTGAAGAGTCACCCGCCGGCGACGAGTCTCCGGGCAGCGGGTGCCCGGCGGGCAGTCGCCTGCCCGCTGCTGGCAACGCTAATTCCGGCCGCGGGTATGTGGCGGGTCCCCTACCCCCACCTACCCCCCACTGACTCCTTTTCACAATAAACGCCTCGGGATCCGTTGTGGAACCCGAAGCCATGCTTAGACACTTTTAAACGCAATCGATGACACCACGTAAACAATTAACGGATCAAAAGCAAGAAACATACGGCACGTATCCTATCATGCTTCCTAAACATAATTAACACCCAAACATGCGAATTCCCACCCAATACATTAAGAATAACACCATATGAGTTTCACGATACATCCTAGG